GGTTTCATTGTTTACAAGTCAAATTCAGTTCAAACCAGCAAACAAAATGCTTGCTATATTTCAGTCCAATATCTTTATTATAGTATTCTAGTATATGCTATATAAAGAAGAACATAATGGAATTCTTTATATATACAACACAGAACTTAACACATAAAACTCTTGTCAAGCTTGGTATAAGCCTGAAAATTTCAGATAATTTCCACTGAAGAGAAAATGCAGTGCTTCTTCTAGCAGTGTTTCTCAACCTTGACAATTTTAAGGCATGTGGACTTCAACTCCCAGAATTCCACAGCCAGTATTGCTGGCTGTGGAATTCTGGGAGTTGAAGTCCCCATGCCTTAAAATTGTTAAGGTTGAGAAACACTGTTTAAATCTAAAGCATAAGAGAGTAAAAGCTAGTAAGATCTTTCCCCCTCTCTTAGAAGACCCGTTTAAAGGAAAGAGGAACCAGTTTCATTGAGAGAACTTTCATTTGTAATCTGAGTCATTAACTATTATTTTTCAAGGTCATAATTTTTTCAAAAAAATGAATTCTTTCTCTCATCTTCTCTATCTTCAAGATAGAGACGTCAGTGACACAGAGAGGAAAATGTTTCTTTTTCTTGCTGATGTGAACTACTTCCATATGTAAATTTAACTGAGCCTGATTGATTCAGTGTTTGGGGTGGAAAATAGAATTTTTACTTTGTTTTAGTTCTTTTGTTGTCAGTTTATTTTGTGGACTGCAAAATGCTGTGAGTAAGTGTAGGCATGAGTTTGGATACAAAATGATTAAATCATCATCACTGTGCATTTTGTGATTCCCTTGTCCCTGCTAAAGTATTTTCAAAACAAGCACATAATATACTTTACATGTATAAAATGTAAATTTCAAAATTATTTATCAAATGAGAAGTTACATATTTTTGTCCAAATGAAAAAAATAATTACACTATGTTATGTCTACAATACACACACATTAAAACAATGTTAAAAAGTAACTGAAATAGATAATTTCTTACAAGTAAGTTAAAGTTTTGTTGTACAGGAAATAAGAAAATTTGCATCCAAAAATTGATCACTTACATTGTGATCTATATTATACAAAGTTTAATTATACAATTATATCAAAATTATACAAAGTTCATATTTCTTTTTTGATTACTAAATAAATCGGTGTGCTATATTTCAGACTTCTCTCAAGCCTCCTCCTTCCATTATATATTCAAGATGGACAGTATTTAATATTTATTTGTTATGTATATGTAGGGGTGTGGGTCTATACATATGTTGTATATAGTATGTTTTAGGTGTGTGTTATGTATGTGTTTCACTTTGAGAGCGGGCAACTAAATTTCATTTTTGATGTGTGCCGTTGTGCCCACAATAAAAAAATGACAATAAAGGTTATCTTATCTTATCAATGCAAAAGCTAAAGCCAGGTTTCAGTTTAATAGCTATTAACATGAAGCTGATAACAAATTGGAGGTTGTCTTTTTCATTATATTTATTTTTGCTACTTATAAGTCTTTCTTATAGCATACAAATTTGTTTTATGAGAATGTTTTGAGTACCTACAAACCAAATAATGGGTTTCTTCATTGTCAAAAATACTATCTTGTTGCAAGATTAATATTTCAAATGCAACCCACTTTACCATCTGTGAAACTGTCTGCCAGATGGTTCAATACTGTGGCATGTTATCATTATTTATTTTGGTTATCATAACAGCACAAATAATCACTTCAGAGTTGAAATGAACAAAGTATCCCAAATATTGTGCTTTCAGCTTCCCTGTCTTGGCTTTAGCAAGCTAAAAAAGCCTCAGGTGGCACAATGTAACTCCAGTTAAAAAAAAAAAAACCATCATTATGGATTCTGCAATATTGTCAAACAGTACTTGGATGCAAGATCATTTCCATCCTCAACTTCCTTTGAGAAATACTGAGCTAGTGTTTTGTAATTTCTAATTCATTCTTTCATTGCAAAATGATTTAACATCCATCTAACTTTTGTTGAATGGTCTGTATGGGACTACATCATAGGCTGCAACTCAGGCTGTTTCCTATTAGTTTTGATTCCATTCCTAAGTGATTTATTCCACTGCCTTCTGGAATTCTTCATAATTTGCTTGGGGTGCAAAAAGATGGGCTTTTTGACTGAGTGTCTATTCAGGTACTCAGTCTGCCATGGATTTCACAGCTTTCCACCAGCAAAATCATAACAAACTTTGACTTCTGCACTTGAAGGCATACTACAGGGTTCCCCAACCCCCCTGGTCCATGGACCAGTACCAGGCCGCAGCATGCCAACAACCGGTCCGCACAAACAAGCAAGGTCCCATCCATGGGATGCAGGCAGCACACAAAACCACGCACTCTCCAGTCCGTGGAAAAACCTTTCTCACGGAACTGGTCCCTGGTGCCCAAAAGATTGGGGATCTCTGGCGTACTACACCTCCAGTTTCAATATAAGAAAATATTTAGTGAATCTGCTCAGGCAGGCGTTCAGAATTTTCCTTAGTTTCAGCTAATACATTTATGCCATGAAGCCCTGATAACTTAAAACTTCCTGCCACTTTTCAGTTGTCTTAATATATTACAATAGTCTTGCACCAATCTTTGAACTATACGCTTTGTCATCTTCATGGGATCAAATTTACACTATTGACCTATTGCAACATTGGCTTCAGCCTAAGTCTTGGGCGAGAACTTAACCCTCTTCCTGCTACAGCTGAATCCCTTCTTTGCCTGGAGTTCAACAGAAGATCTGCATGCTTCCACCTAGTTCCCAAGGCCTGGACAAAAAGCTTTCCTGTCTTCTTCCTACCTCTTTCTCTGGGCCTCTCTCTATTTCTCTCTCTCCTTCCTTTGCTGGTGCATCATCTCAGTGAGCAGGAGACAGATTCCTGTGCAATGGTTGCTGGCGGCCACACAGATGCACAGCTCGGAGAGACCATTGATTCTAAGGGTTGATCTCTGAATTAGAGCAGACTTTCTGAAAAGTAAAATTAAATTATTCCTAGGAAAATATTGCTAACAACAATGTTGTGGGAATTGATGAAATGTCAGCTGAACTGAAGAGTTGATGCAGTTAATTTTTGTAAGCCATTTGTAGGCAATTATTTAAAAAACTAATTACAAGGATGAATTTATATTCCAATACTAGAAAAGTCAGTGCTAAAGGATACTGTAACTATAAAGCACTTTCATTTATCTCCTATGCTAGTATAATAATGATCATGATTTTGCAACCCATACTTCAATAATACATGGGAACAAGAACTTTGCCGGATGTACAAACCATGTTCAAAAGAGACAGGAGCACCTGAGAATATATTGGTAGCATCTGATAAGGAAAAAAGTTAAGAGGATTTTGCCCAGCTTATGTTTCAAGACTTTTGACTACAAAATTTTGAATAGAAATAAGAATGTATAGGTAGTTCTCGACTTACGATCGCAATTGAGCCCAAAATTTCTATTGCTAAGTCAGGCATTTGTTAAATGAATTTTGCCCCATTTTAGAACCTTTTTTGTCACATTTGTTAAGTGAACCATGGCAATTAAGTTAATAACATGGTTGTTAAATGAAGATAGTCATAAGTCACCTTTTCAGTGCCATTGTAACTTTGAACAGTCACTAAATGAACTGTACCATTTAAATAAAAGTAAGATCCTTTTAGTGGAAATTTATGCTCCAAACCAAAATAAATCTGCATTTTTCAATGGACTTAAGTGAAAATTAATAGAGCTGTCATATGTAAATTGGTGCCTAGAGGGAGACTGGGATGGAGTAGTCTGCCCACAATAAAATAGATCATCAGTAAAGGGAATTTAAATGATGCAAGATAAACTACCAAGAATATTCTTCAAAATGATGAATAAACTTGAATTAATTAATATATGGAGACATAAAAGTGGTGATTCTAAAAAATATACTTATTTTTCAGAAAGACTTAGATCTTTCTCCAAATTTGGCCCCTTATGTTAACAAAGTTGAAATATTGCCAAAAATGTTCTGTGCCCATAATTTAGTGATTTTAATATACAAGAAGAAAGTTGGACCTATAGATGGAGATCAAATGAAATATTACTACAATGTAAATTGATAGTGAAAAAAATGTAAAAGGGATCTTATTTTTTTTAGAATAATTTCAATAATAGTATGGGATGGCAGTAAAGCATTCGTGCAAAGGCAATTATTCAGCAGAACAAAATGCTGAACAAAAAGACAAAAGATGCAAATGATTCTAAATGATATAAAGATAAAAGAGAATGAGTTAATAAGATCTCCAAGGAAATCTCTGGTGTCTTACCATCCAAAAATAAATCGATATATGCAACAATAAAATAAAAGAAACAGTAAAACTAGTAAAACTAAAAACTGACTAACGTACAGTGATATGACTACATAATCATGGTCACATTTTTATAAATGAGGAAATGAGTTACAGTAAAAATGGTTGAATTGCTTTGATGGAAGGGAGGAGCTGGCACAAAAAAAAATGGGGAAGTCACTTGGGGAAAGCTGCCCCTGAGAGCATCAGACCTCACCAAACTTTAAACCGGTACTATTCATATAAATATTCATCAGTTTATATAATAAAAGAAATAGGATTTATTTTTCTCTGATAAAGTGATTAATAACAATGGATTTCACAGACTGCATTAAATGGACTTTTCTCTACAAGAATGTAGGATCCACTGCATGATGAACTGGGAGAGTTCTTTCTCATAACCTAGTGTCTGATTGGAGAGACTTCCACCTAAGGGGCATATGCTTGCATCGGCATTTATCCAATTTTTCATTTAACTCATACTCATAATAAAACCAAAAAGCTGCCAAAAGCAAGCCATAACTATGGTTAAATTGGAAGTTTAGGGTCTTTGAATCATTGCAAAAACCACCCCAGTATGCCTTTACAAAACTCCACTGGAACCAGATTCACAGCATGCTAATTTGTGTATTTTTCATTGAAGCAAGTTTTAATAAAGATGGTTGTTTTTTTCTTCTTTCAGGAGTGTGTATTTGGAGGTTGACCCCAGGCATCCCAAAATGGTAACAAATTGGCTGTCCGGTCATCCTGATTTGAACCTTTTTGTATCTGCTACACACAAGGACTTCTGTGGAAAGTAAGATGGGGAAGATTCCTAGATGTTCATTTTTCTTGTTTCTTTATGCAGCAAGCATCTCATAGAACCCTTGTACCAAGTTCTATTGGCAGCCCACAATACAGGTAGACCTCGACTTACAACAGTTCATTCAGTGACTGTTCAAAGTTACAACAGCACTGGCAAAAGTGATTGATGACCATTTTTCACACGACCATTGCAGTATCCCCATGGTCAGGTGATCAAAATTCACATGCTTGGCAACTGATTCATATGTATGACAGTTGCAGTGTCCCAAAGTCATGGCATCACCTTTTGCAGCCTTCCGAAAAGCAAAATCAAGGGGGAAGCCAGATCATGTCCCTTCACAACCATGTCACTAATTTAACAATTGCAGTGATTCACTTAGCAACTGTGGCAAGAAAGATCGCAAAAATGGAGCAAAACTCACTTAACAAATGTCTTGCTTAGCAACAGAAATTTTGGACTCAATTGTGGTCGTAAGTCAAAGACTACCTGTATATTATGAAGCCAAAGTTGAGCCGAGTATATAAATGCTGTGCAACAAACAGTTCCATGGAAGCATAGGAAACATTGAAGAGAGATGTTGCTTTCTGCATAGAATACAGAGAAATGTTGTTGAACATGTTTCACTTTATTTGTATATTATGCAGACGCTGGGCCAAATATTGTACTTTATTCTTTTCATTGAACACCTGGAGTAGTAAAATGACTCTTGTGAAACTTAAGAACAACTTGGAAATTTATTTATATCATGAAAAAATTAATTAACATCTTTATCTCCTGATACAAACAATCCCATGAACTCTTTGTAACCTACAGTTCTTGGTTAAAACCATTCTAACATATTATTAAGGGATTATAAAACTTTCAACATCTAATAAATTCCAAGAAAGCTCATACTGTAAAATGTGCTAGTCTTTAAAGTGCTATAAAGCTCCCTTTTAAACTTCTATGCTCTTTTTAGTAAGATTTAATGTTGTGATTTGTCTTACATTTATCCAGGCCAAGGTTTCTGCACATTCAAAAACGTAGGAAAGAAGATCATGACTAGTTCTGTCTCCTAACCCTGGATTGTTTACAGTGCTTTCTAAGGGGTATGTTCTCAGGAAGCCAGATGTCTCTTGATAACATCTGCTAACTCGCATTTTGCTGGGGATGATTTATTTCAAATTTTCAAGTTATTTTGTGGTTATTCCCGTTGTTATATGAGATATACCATTTATATCCAATGTATAATTGCTATTTTTTTAATCTTATAATCACTTTACATTCCTCAAACTAAGGGTGTAGAATGGAGGTAAGAATAAAATACTATAAATGCAGAATAAAATACTTTTATAGAAACATGAGATACGGAAACATTTTTTTAAATCATAAGGAGAAACTTAGAAAGAGATTGTTTTTCCTTTCCATTCCATTGTCCCCTAATTGCTATTTAAGTGTTTGCCTATTTAGAGTTTTTGATCTGTAATTCAGGTGCTGAGAAGCAGGAATTGAATTTTCTGAACAAAGTGTGTATGTGTCTATAATTAGTACATGTCAGAGGGAAGCTTCAAAGTGTACTCTATGCTTGATAATGTATCAGTATTGGATTTTGCTGCTTAATTTCCCTTTTGATAAATGCTATTGTAAAATGGCATGTTGTTGTTGTTTTCCAGTGCATTATTTTAGGAATGAAAAAAGCACTCTGTTGTATTCAGCTGTTTGCATTTTTAAAAAATTTGCCCAATAGGTTCATTGCAAATTTGAAGCTGGATCCAAATATAACTTTCCACTGGTACATGCTGCCTGTATCGCTGTACTGCGTTCTTCTGTTTTCTTCCTTCTGGTAACATTCATTTCCTCAACCTTGTGCCAGTGATCTGTAAAATGATACCACAAATGCTGACCCTCTCTTAAGGACACAAATGGAATTGCCATTTCTTCTTGCACATGGTGGGATTCTTTGCCAAAGTACATTGATAAAGAGCAACCTGTCTTTTTCATTACAGTGTGTACCAAAACATCTAATACACTTTTGGCAAAAGACTACAGATGCCTTTCATAAAATATGTTAACATGGCAGCCTATAAGTGGTGTGACATTCCCAAACCCATCCGATGTCCCTTGAGGGGAGGTTCTAACCAGGAAAGCTTTTATCATTTAACTACAAGCTCTCCCAAACTTAGAAATTGTGTCATAAAACATGCTGTTATGCTGTTGGTATAAGTTGGCACAGATTTCAGTTCCTTGTAGAATTAACAAGGGTAAGAAAGTAGGTAGTGGTTTTCAATAATAAATGTGCAGAGGCTGGGTTTTGTTTGCCCTGCAGCTGCTAGTAGATGAGTATACTATAGCTGTTCAACAGTGTCAGTTTTCTTAGAAATAACATGGGCTTGGTGCCAGGTGGTGGCACAGTGCTTCTAGTGGTAGATACCTGGCTGTAATTATCAAGAGGAACTTAAGTAGAGTTAGAAAGTTGCTGTGGTTTCTGACTTCAGAGAGAGGCACTTTGCTCCAAGGGTGCAAATGAAATTCCAGCCTAATCAGAGGTCTAAACTCTTAATAAGAGACCATGTGAGGATTATACTTCTTTATCCCCAGAATTAGGATTGGAAGACTTCAACAAAATATTGTCCTGCTAACTGCTTCTGTTCAGTTTCACCCCGACAGTCTTCCCTGTTTGAAAGTCAAAGATTGGTTGATCTAGCAGTAAAGAGGGCAAAGTGAGAGACTGGATATCCTCATTCATTTCATCTAACCCAGCGGTTCTCAACCTATGGGTCGCGACCCCATTTGGGGTCGATCGACCATTTCAAGGGGGTCGCCAAGCAAGGCTATCCGCCATTTTTTCCCCTTTTCCGGCGGGTGCCTTACCTCCCTTGGGCTGGGCCAGCTGGTGGTCGCCCTGCTCCGTCTCTGCCGCTTGCCAGCTACGCCTCGGCCGGCGCAGGGGGCGGAACCACGCATGTGTGGCGCTCCCGGGCAGGGAAAGTCCTCGACTTATGACCGGTTGGGTATTCCTCGACTTATGACCGGTTTAGTCCTCGACTTACGACCGGTTTAGTCCTCAACTTACGACCGGTTGGGGTCGCGGCATTAAAAAGGTTGAGAACCACTGATCTAACCAGTGTTTTTCAATCTTGGCGACTTTAAGACAGGTGGACTTCAACTCCCAGAATGGGAGTTAAAGTCCACTTGTCTTAAAGTTGCCAAGGTTGAAAAATAACAATCTAAACCATAGAATTGAAAGGGCAGTAGGCAAGTTGCTTTTTTAGACTAAATCCAAGACTTTGTAGAATTATTATATGAATTAACTTTTTGTAGATTCTAACTACTCTTGAAACGGTCTTACATAAAATAGTTTTGTATTTTCTGCTAAGTCTACTGCCTGAAATGCTTGATTCAAAGCCAGAGGACTTGCACTTGTGATAAATGCAATCCTACCTTGTTACAGACCCACAAGCACTAATTGACTGGATTTTAAAAAAAAAAAATTAGGTGAAGGAAGGATTAAAAAATATCAGACTACAGATAGTCCTCCACTTACGACCACAATTGAGCCCAAAATTTCTGTTGCTGAGTGAAACAGTCATTAAGTGAATTTGGCCCCATTTTACAACCTTTCTTGCCATCGTTGTTAAGTGAATCATTGAAGGTGCTTAATTTAGTAACATGGTTGTTAAGTGAATCTGGCTTTCCTATTGACTTTACTTGCCGGAAGGTCCCAAAAGGTGATCACATCATCCTGGAACACTGTGACCGTCATAAATATGAACCAGTTGCCAAGCATCCATATTTTGATCACATGCCCATGGTGATGCTGCAGTGGTCGTAAGTGTGAAAAATGGTTGCATTGTTTCAGTTACGTTGTAACTTCAGACAGTCACTAAATGAACTGTTCTAAGTCGAGGACTACCTGTAATTGATTTTGGCTGTTTTCAAGGAAGCATAGCCTGACTTCACCATTTCTTTGTAGCATTTTTTTTCCCCCCACAATGATCTTAACTCAATATTGGACTGAAATTCTCTGCCTCATCACACGTCTTTTGAACAGCTGCTGGTTAATTATGTCACTTATGTCACTTATTGTTTAAACACACCTGGAGGCAAAATATTGGTTGCATAGGTGAAGGTAGAAATCTCCCAATGAAGAGAAAATCAAAGAAGGGAGAGTGTAGACAGGTCTTTTGTCACAATTTTTTTTGAAGAGTGACAGAATTCATCTAAGCTGTAAAACGACTGAATTTATCTAAGTGGTATTGTTTTTTAATTGGTGTATTGTTCAATGAATAAACCTTGAGGGTTTTTTAGGGAAGTAACATACAATCTGAAAACAAGACGTTGTTGGCTTTCTGGTTGCAACTGTGACTTAACAAATGAGAAAACATGATTGGTTTGTGGTTAACTACCTATTTCTGGTCTGCTTTGTGTGTTCCACCCAACTCTCTAAAAATCTTATTATAATCTTGAGGGCTCTTTTTAAGGTATGGAAATATTAATTTTGTATTGGTTTGCCCAGACTCATCTAAATTGAAGCAGTTTACAAGTATGTATGTATGTATGTGTATAAATAAAATAAAATAAAAATATAAAAATAAAATAAAATAAAGCTACAAACAGAAAACAGATTGGCCAAGCCATGCTTGCTTTGCTTTTGGCTTTTTCAGAAATAAACAATTAGTGATATGTACAATGGAACACAACTGAAAAAAGAAATCTCTTTGCCCACAGTAATAATATTATAACTACTTCCTTTTTAGAGAATGGTTTAGTAGTATGTTTATCACTTTCGAGAATATAAAAGCCAGGTGCATCAGTTGTCTAATTCTGTCATGTTTTAATGCATTTTTTCAGAGTTTGACACCAAGCACAATTTGCATATGGTGTACAAACTGATTAAGAGGAGAAAAGCTATTTGATACCAGGCTTTGATCTGTGCTTTAGAACAGGCATGTCAAACTCGTGACATCACGCAACGTATCGCGACGTTTTCCCCATTGCCAGCAATGGGGTGGGCACGGTTTCGGCATGACGCACCCAGTCCCTGGGCCGGCAGTTTAACATGCCTGCTTTAGGATTAGCTGGGTGTTTTTTTTATTTGTTTCATATATTTTCAAATGAACTTTGTTTGTTTCCACTAAGCTGAAGCTTCATGCTCCCCAGTTTTAATTTGCAGTCAGTCTTTACATTCCAACAATGAGATCCTTGACCTCCAGGATATGTGTCCCATGAAGCAGTTATGACATATTGGCGGGAGGGATTGTAGCCTGAGTTTGATAGAAATATAGTCAGGGAGTATGTATTGACCTTGAAGGAATTCATATCTCCAAATGCTTAAGTCTTGCTGAATCTCTAACCAACCCACTTAAGAAAACCTCATGAATTGATGACATACCAGATGACTAGAGTATGACAAATGCTGCTCTTCAAAAAGCAGGCTAAGATGGATCTAGGGAACCACAGAATAGATTAGAAAGTGGTTGGCTTATAAACATCTTGAAAATAATGCAGTAATAGCTATTATCTGTGATGGATTTATCAAGAACAGGTTGTGTCAGGCTAATCTTATTACATTTTTCAGCAGATAATTTCCTTACTAGGATCTGGGATTAGTGTAGACATAATATGTTGCAATTCAGCAAAACATTGTACTATATAGCAATGTTTTGATTAACAAAATAGTTGAATATTACCTAGATAGCATATTCTACAAAGTACCTGAAGGCAGGTCAAGAAGCAACGGATGGAAACTAATCAAAGAGAGAAGTAACCTAGAACTAAGGAGAAATTTCCTGACAGTGAGAACAATTAATCAGTGGAACAACCTGCCTCCAGAAGCTGTGAATGCTCCAACACTGGAAGTTTTTAAGAAGAGACTGGACAGCCATTTGTCTGAAATAGTATAGAGCAGGGGTGTCAAACTGCCGACCCGCAGGCCAGACGCGTCATGCGGAAGCCGCGCCCACCCAATTGCCGGCAATGGTAAAACTCTCCCGATACGTTGCGCGACGTCATGTCACATCGTGAATTTTACATGTCTGGTATAGAGTTTCCTGCCTGAGTAGGGGGTTGGACTAGATGACCTCCAAGGTCCCTTCCAACTTATTATTATTATTATTATTATTATTATTATTATTATTATTATTATTATTATTATTATTATTATTATTATTGTTATTATTATTATTATTATTATTATCTTTTATTCATTAAACATGAACCTCAGTCAACTGAACATTCAAATGGCTGACACGGGTTGCTACCAGCATCCTAGGTGTCAACCAGGTATCTCCTTAAAATATAAGATGTTCCGAGTAGCGCAGTTTTTTGTAACATTGCTGGAGTTATTGCAGGAAGCTGCAGTTTCTTGATGTCTTTTGCAAAGTTTTTGGACATAGTTCCCATTGCCCCGATGACAATGGGTACCACTGTTACACGTTTCATTCATAATTACGCAGGTTCAATGGCCAGGTCGCGATATTTCGTAATTTTTTCCAGTTCTTTTTCTTCGACTTCTGGCATCTCTGGTACAGCGATATCAATCAGCTGTACGCTTCAGTTCTCTACAACTGTGATATCCGGCGTATTGTGTTCCAAATGGCGATCTGTCTGTATTCGAAAGTCCCACAAGATCTTCACCCTCT